GAACCAGACCTGTGGATACCAGGCTTTAGAATATCTAGTAATGCCCTTTGGATTAACTAATGCCCCAGCTGTTTTTCAGGCACTCATCAACAATATATTAAGGGACTTTATTGGGGACTTTGTATTTGTGTACTTGGACGACATACTCATCTACTCCCACAACGAGGCTGAACACACTAAAGATGTTTGTAACGTCCTTCAATGACTCTACGAAAACAAACTATTTTTTAAAGGTGAGAAGTGTGAATTCCATGTGCCCACCATCTCCTTTTTGGGTTTTATCTTTGAAAAGGGCCGTTGTAAAACCAACCCTGAAAAGACCTGTGCTGTGATGGATCGGCCAGTTCCTGAGACCAGAAAACAACTGTAGTGTTTTCTGGGCTTTGCCAATTTCTACAGTCACTTTATTAAGGACTATAGCCATGTGGCGGCACCCCGTCCTAGCTCACTTCCACTGCTAGGACCTTCAAATGGAACCCTGAGGCCGACCTTGCCTCTCTTAAACTCAAGAGACTGTTCTCATCTACCCCGATTCTTTGCCAGCCAGATCCCAAGCGGCAGTTCATCCTGGAGGTGGATGCTTCCGACACTGGAGTGGGGGAAGGCTTGTCTCAACGATCCCCCAACAACAACAAGGTACACCCATGCGCTTTCTTCTCACTTTGCCTTTCACAGGCAGAGAGGAATTATTACGTGGGCAACCGAGAACTGTTGGCGGTCAAGTTGGCCCTGGAGAAGTAGCGTCACTGGCTGGAAGGCACCGAGACACTGTTTCTGATCTGGACCAATCTCAAAAACCTGACCTACCTCCGGGATGCCAAACACCTCACCCCCAGGCAAACACGCTGGTCACTGTTTTTCAACCATTTTAATTACTCTCTCACCTTCAGGCCCAACTCCAAGAACATTAAACCCGATGCTCTCTCCCATCAGTTCTCTACCCCGATGTCATTGAACAGGAGGACAGTATCATCTCGGCATCCTGCATTGTGGGGGCCCTCACATGGCCCATCGAGAGAGAGGTCCTAGAAGCCCACAAGGACGAACCCGACCCTGGTTCTGGTCCACCCAGGACTCTCTTCATCCATTTATCCATGAGGTCTAAGGTACTGGACTGGCTACACTCCAATAATCTGTCCTGTCACCCTGGCACCTCTCATATGCTCTCCCTAGCTAAGACCCACTTCTGGTGGCCTACTCTCACCTCGGTTGTTAAATCCTTAGTCACAGCCTGTTCCATGTGTGCCAGAAACAAGACTGGCAACCAACCTTATGCCGGTCTCCTCTTTCCTCTTCCAACGCCTAGCCGTCCATGGTCCCACACCTTGGTGGACTTTGTCACGGGTCTACCCCCATCGGACGGTAACACCACCATTCTCTCACTCATTGATAGGTTCTCCAAGGTGGCATACTTTATCCCCCTCTCCAAACTCCCCTCCGCTTTCGAGACCACTCTGCTCCTTGTACAACATGTTTTCAGGATCCATGGTATCCCCTCTGATGTGGTCTCGGACCGGTGACCAAAATTCATCTCCCAAGTCTGGCGCTGCTTTTCCAAAACCCTGGGGGCCTCCTCCAGCCTCACCTCAGGGTATCACCCCCAATCCAACGGCTAAACGGAATGAGCTAACCAAGAGCTCGAGGCTACTCTCCCGTGTGTGGTGGCGAGGAACCCATCTGCCTGGAGCAAACATCTGGTCTGGGTCGAGTACGCCCATAACACCCACAAGTCTGCAGTGACAGGTATGTCCCCGTTCAAGGCCTCCCTTGGCTATCTTCTCCCGTTGTTTCCCAGCCAGGAGAATGACACCAAGGTACAGTCAGTTCAACAACACTTTCGTCGCTGCCAATGCATCTGGTATCAGACCAAGACTGCCCTACTCCGCACAGCAGCCCAGACAAAGAAGTATGCCGACCGCCGTCGCTCTTCAGTGCCGTCCTATCAGGTAGTCCAAAAGGTTTGTCTCTTCACCCGCAACATTACTTTAAAGGACACTCCTAGGAAATTGGCCCCCCATTTCATCGGTCCCTTCCTGGTTCTCAAAGTCATCAACCCCTCTGCAGTGAAGCTCCAGCTCCCTGCGTCCCTGAAAATCCACCCTACCTTCCTTGTTTTGCAAATCAAGCCTGTTTCTGTCAGCCCTCTGTACCCGCCCACCGACCTCCCTCCCCTTGCCCGACTGATTGACAACCACCCTGCCTTCACGGCAAGGTCCATTCTGGATGTCCAACGTTGTGGTAGGGGCTTCCAGTATTTTCTTGACTGGGAGGGTTACGGGCTAGAGGAATGTTCCTGGATCCCCCCTTTCTTCATTTTAGATCCGAGCCTGATCACGGCCTTCTTCAGGCTGCACCCTGAAAAACACCTCAGGTCGCTGGGAGGTGATTCTTGGGGGGGGGGGGGGGGCACTGTGAGAGTACCATTTGCTGCAGCTTCCCTGTCCAAGATGGCCAATCAGTACCACCTGACGTTCATCTCCTTGATGAGGTTCCACCCTACATAAGGATGCAGTTGGCGCCGGAGCATTAGCCACTGATGGTACACTATGTCTCTCGTGCAAAAATACTAAAACCTTCTCTTGTAGTTAAAGCTTACCTTCCTCCTCAGATTCTACTGAGACTTGGTCCTCCTTCTGTCCCACTTTTTTTGTTTTTTTTCTCTCTGTACTCCGGTGAAGACAGCCATATCTCCCTGAGAATTCTGGATTGTCTATAAATTCGTATGGATGTATCGAAGCTTGACAGTACTCAGACTGAATTTGTGGAATGTGCCAGAGAACTGGAGCAGCTGTTATCAAGACTGTACTCTCAGAACACATGAAAAAGGGAAATAATCTTGGAGAAGATGTGAGCTCAACTTTTGGCGTAAAGGATTAATTTGGCTGTTTTGGAATTTTCATCAGAGAAATATATACCAGCAAGACTTTTAAGGCAGAAAACAACAATTCACAAGTTCTGCCTGACCCAAACTGTGGCCTTGATGCCCAAACATATCTCAACTCCTCCTGGCATGTTATGAAAATAACAAAGATGTTTTGTCTGTCTCCTCACCCCTCCCTTCCCCAAGGCCATGGACATGTGACAGAGCCTCAACCGAGCTGATGATGAAGAACACCACTTATCTGGACAATGGCTGAGAGGGAGAGCTCTGGACTATGCTACGACTTTCCCTTAAAAATTCAATGTCTTCACCAGCCTATATGTACATGTCTATTTATGTTGCTTTGCTGTGGTAGGTTTTTTTGATGCCTCAAATCGTGCCCTGTCTAGGACACGGAGTGAGAGATCTTTTTTTATACCATCTTTCCTCATGTTTTCTTCCCTTTTATCATCTAGGTAAAATATTATTCTGAATAAGAAGAAGAGGGCCGCGCTTTTTATAGTAGCAGCTTCTTCCACTTCGCCCATCTTTCAGACGACTGTACATATATGTTCTCGTTGTATCTTGGTGCAATGATAATAAAGTTAATTCTGATTTTGATTCTGATCCCTGTCGTGCCTTGGTTCCCCTTCAGTTCCTTTCCTGGTTCCTTGTGCTTTGCCTTCCAGCCACATGCCTGTTCACCTTCTTTTCTGGAGCCCTCTTTGGATCACCCTTGGTCGTCCTCCAAACTGTAAGATAAAACTATTGGATCAATATCATCATCTTCTATTCTCCAACCAGAGCCTCCTGACCCCCTCCTTCTTCCCCAGGGCTCGAGATGAGCTACTGCTTACACTGTACATAAATAAACACTGTCAATTTGTATCCTTGAGTCTTGTCTCATTTTTGTGGTCTCGTATCACTCTGGATTCCCCGAGTTGTAACAGTAAGTGTTTTTCAGTTCTTTGAAGCTACCTTAAATAGCAGTGTTGTTGGTGGCTTTTTGTACTATAACTGAGAATTTGGCTATTAAACATTCTTCTTTTATTTTGGTGATATGGCAATAGAAAAAGCTGAAGCCAAGGTTTTTGTGGAGATTTTGGGGTCTAAAAAGTCCCAGCCAGACTCCATTTGAATTTCAAAGCTTTGCCAGTGAATATAATAGACCCCTGCGTAAGCTTTGTGGCAGCTTTTATGGCATTCCAGTTATACCAGTCTCATCAGGGACCCCCTCCCCAACCCAAGTTCCTGCAGGTCGGTGTGCTGCTTTGGCAGAGTTGTGACAATAACAAAACCTATAATCTTATTTAAACACTGCAGAACTTCCTCTGTCTCCTGCTTCACACTTTATCCCCTCTCCGCACAAAATGGTTTGTCCTTTTCTGTTCTCCTGTCTCCTCTGAAGTTTCCCATAGGATGCTTCAGGGTAATCACGACTACACTCTTTACTGTCTTCTTCCCCCTGCCTCTCACTTCTCATCATGTCCATGGAGCCTCAGGCCCTTTTTTTCTCCGAGGAGAGTGCATGTGGGTGAGAGAGATGGTGAGGGGAAAAAAGACTGTTGTCACTAGAGGTGGTGGCTCCTGCTCCTGCTACCACTGAATAAATGTGAGTTCATTCTGAGTGCTGGCATATGTGCAGGGGTAGAGTGGTGGTAGTGGGTGGGTAGGGTGGGGGGCACAGAGGGATATTATGTAGGAGGAGTCTTGGTGCTGTTATTTGTAAAAGCTTTTGATGGATGATTACTCTGGGTGTATGAGATAGAGGGAGTGAGGGAGTCCCCCCTTTCTTTTTTTTTTCTAGTGGCTCACTGTTCAGTGCACAATGACTCAATGAAAAGTGGAGGGGAGAGGTAAACGCACTGTACAGCTGCATGAGAGCGAGCACAGAGAACACACAGGGGACTTGAAGAAAAGAAGCCAATTGGAGGAGCTGTAAAGCTGAGGGACAAGTAGAAAAAAGAATCTACTTGCCCCCCCTTATCTCTACTCAGGGATCAAGTTGTTAATTTTGAGCTGAACTTCACCTGACTGCTGCTGTCTCTCAGCCTCTGGAAATATTTTCTTGCTCTTTCTGCCCACTTTTCAAAGAAAGTAGAAACGGAAGTGCGGTGGTTGTTACCCACTCCCTGGGCAGGAAGAAGGAATAGTATCTGTCAGCTGGGATCTGCAGTGTTGTGGAGCTCTGCAGGAGAGCAGAATGCCTGCTGGGAGAAGAGGGGATGGAGCCGGGTCAGGAGGCTGCAGGATGACAGTGACCCCAGGGAGGGCTTTCTGTTCTGGAATATGGACAATGGTGGTATGGGGGGTTTTGGTTATCCTGTTGGATCAGCGAGGTGCTGAAGCTTGTCCGGCTCCCTGCAGCTGTCTGGGGACCACGGTGGACTGTCATGGACAAGGACTCCACTCCGTACCCAAAAACATCCCCAGAGGGACAGACAGGCTGTGAGTAATCACACATTCATATTTATCTGTTGCTCTGTGTGGAATCCTTTAAAGTGACGACATATTGCTGCTCTGCGCTTAAAGGAGAAAGACCAACTTAAATGTGGCTGCTTGATTTAGACCAGATATTTAGGCTAGCATGTGTGTAAAAGTAAATACAAATAAGGGGGGTACATAGGGTATAAATTAGTCTGCATTGATTTTACTGATCCAGTAATTCAAACAATACAACTAAAATGTACTGTGCCTTTATTTTTAGTCTTTCTTGATTAGTAGTTTTTCAAACACACATTTTGACACTTGCACTTGATTCAGTTGCTGCTCTGCGGCATTGTTTCCTGCAGCTGAGCCTTGTTGCAAGTACATGTTTAATGTGTCATTGATTTTCTTTGAAACTCCTATTTTAGAATATCTGTTTCATATTCTACACAAACTCCTCATCACTTATTAGTTAAATACTTGAATAGAAATCTGAAGCTTACGTAGCTCATCGCCTAATATCAAACGCATTGTGTTTATGAAGAATAGGTCTGTACTTCAGCTGTTGAGTGGACTAAACACATGCACAGTAACTCATATAAATGTAACATTATAGTGTCTTACTATACTTTACTTATGGTGTTGGGTGGACATAAGACAAAAATTATAAAGAATGTGGCCAAACCTTTATAATTTCTTGATATTTTCCTTTAAAAAATAGTGTTGCATGCCATGCAACACCTTTGCATTTACAACAATGCATTTGTTTTAAATGCATTTACAACAATTTATAATGCAAATGCATTTACAACAATACATTTGCATTAAACCTAGTCAGATTTACAAGATTCAGTTAGTATTTACAAATAAAATACATCAAAAATATCATAAATCTCAAATTCAAAAATCTGTGGTTGTTCTGTGTAAAATTTATATTTAAAATTTGATGTAAAATACACTTTATGTCTTGTTAAATCAGTTGCACAACGCTGTAAAGTCTCTAAACATGATTTAACCATTCTGTGTGAGTAAGTAATGCATTAAACATGTTTTAATTAACTGTTTCCTAAAATTTATTAATTGGTGAGTGAGTCTGGTTTGATCAGGCTAACAGTCTGAATAATATTACCCCGAGTGTAAAACATTGTGTGAACTGGGAATTAAATTTAGTCCTGTTAATCTTTAATTAATTTACTCTTTTTTACCAACTTTGCACCTGCTAAGGCAATTCAAAATATAAAAGCACAAAGCTATAATATTTAAAGGATAATACCACAGTGGTTTCAGAATCCACAGTGTTGTTTATTGTAACAATCTGTTGCAGGGATAAACCAGAATGGTCAAGTTGCAGGTCTGAGTCTCCTTTTAATGCTCTTTTAATGTTGCTTTCCTGTGCCTTCAAGTTGCAAAAGGATACATTCAGACTGTTGTTTGTGTTTATGTACTAAACTACTGTTCATATTAGACTTTCCGGACTATCTGTATGTTGTCTTGGATGGGGTGCCATCAGGGGCTTCTGTTATTCTCCTGGGTGACTTGAGTGCCTATGTAGACAATTACAGAGTTATCTGGATGGGGGTAATATCTAGGAATGGCCTCCCAGATTTGAATCAGAATAGTGTTATACTATTGGAGGTCTCTGCTAGGCTGGGCTATCCATATAAACATCATGCTTGAGCATTGAGTGGTCCAAAAATGTACAAGGTACGCAACCCCTTAGCTCAAAAGTTTATGATCAATTTTGTAATTGCATTAGGCCTAATTGCATTTGGTCATTAGACCTGCAACCCTATGTCTTGGACATTGATGAAGAGTGGAGAAGAGCTGTCAAATGTTGAGTTGGACCTATTAGCAGGGAAGACTGCCTCACAGACTTGGTATACACAAACACATAGTACGTAGTCCTTAACATTTTTAATTCACACCTCTGGTAAAGTTTTTCACAAGTGGCCAGGGAAGTCATTGACATGAAATTAAAATGGACCATGCTCAGGACCTCTGTGGCCAATGTAAATTCCAGGAGCTGTCCTGGAGGACTCCTGAAACTGTTGACAGGTACAGGGTAACTACAAGGACTTCGGATTCTGTAGTTATGGATGGCAAATTTTAAGTGTGGGAGTAATTTAAAGGAGCCATGGATAAGGACTTTTGGTTGGCCTTCAGGAGGTTCTGGCAAATCGTTCAGCAACTCAGAAAGACAGGGAAAGAGGGTTACATCCCAGGTTGTGTGTGACTTGGCTATGTGACTGCTGACCTGGACTGGTTATATTGTCAAATAGTGGATGAATGGAAAAATAATTTAAGAGAATCTCTTTAATCCACCCACCATATCCACCTTTGAGGAGGCATACGCTAAGGGAATCTTGGGGAAGATAAGTTTATTACTATGGCAGAGGTTGCCAAGCTATGCCAGAGGTGGATGATATTAGGCCTGAATTGCTGAAGGCTCTGGATGTTGTGGGGCCTTCTTTTCTGTCATGTTTCCTTAATGTCTCACAGAGGACTGGGACAATACATGCAAAGTGGCAGATCAGAGTAGTGATTTCCATTTTTCAAATGAAGGACGACAGAGTATGTTCTTACTATCAAGAGATCACACTTCTCAGCCTCCTCAGGAAAGTTAACTCTAGGATAATGAACGGGATACTCTGATCAATTGTTGAACCTCACATTCAGGAGAAGCAGTGTGGCTTTTGTTCTAGTTGTTGACTAGATCTTTCTAAGGGGGCCATGTGAGTTTGACTCTTCAGCCTACATGTTTTATGGACCTAGAGAAGTCTTATGACTGTGTTCCCTGAGGCATTATCTAGAGGATGCTACAGGAGTATTGAGACATCAAATATATCCTGCACACCTCCCTTTGAAGGTTTTCTGGACATGTCTCAATGGAGAGAGACCTCATGCAGACCCAGAAATTGCTGAAGGGTTTATGTATCCTCTCTTGCCTAGGAATGCCTTGAAATCTTCAAGGGCAATATAGAGTGTTGGTGGGGAAAAAGATGTCTCGGAAAAGGGTTTCTCTCCTGAAATTGTTTCCTCAGTTCCCCATAGATATTTGGTAGACAATTGTTGGATGGATGAATTCATGGATGGAATTAGGAGGAACTAGAATTAAAGAAGAACACGCCAGCATTAATCTCTCTAATGGTTGTAGAATATTGACTTCATGGCAATGACCACCAGCCATCCTTAATTATTTCAGCCATTTAAATTTAACATTAAGATTTATGTTTAACATTTAGATTCACAATTAAAATTAACATTTATAATTTTGATTTAACTTTTGGCAGCACGGTGACACAGCTAGATCTGCCACCTCTCAGTGAGAAGGTTGCCACATCGAATCCCTGTCGGGGGGCTGTCTGGGTGGAGTTTGCATGTTCTCGCCATGTATGCGTGGGTTTTCTTTGGGTACACCGGTTTCCTCGCACAGACCAAAAACATGCATGTTAGGTTGATTGGTAACTATAAATTGTCCCTAGGTGAAAGAGAGAGTGAATAGTTGTTTGTCTCATTTGTCTCTATGTATCCTTGTGATGGACTGGAGACCTGTCCAGGATGTCCCCTGCCTTTCGCACAGTGACAGCTGGATATGGGCACCAGTGAACCCCGTGACCTGAAAAAGAAGAAGCGGGTAAAGATAATGGATAGATAGATGTTTATCGGGGCTCACAGAAATGTCAAAACGTTTGTATATTTGGTATTTTTAATAGAAAATAATAATTTTAAGGGTCCGAATTTTTCAGTGTCTGATGATTCGATTCCAATTTTTGGTGTCACGATTCGATTCAAAAATGATTTTCACTTCAGAAAGGATTTTTCTATTGAAATGGTCATAATTTTTGTTTAAATTAAGTTATTGACAAGATGAAACTATTAAACAACAATGTAAATAAATAGAACATGTAATAATAATAATAAGGAATTTAATTTGTAATGTACTTTTCATTAACAAAAATCTCAGTGCTACAAAGTGCAACTAAAATCAGTGATAAAATCAACTAAAATCAGTGATAAAATCAATCAACTAAAATCAGTGATAAATCATGTGGAGGCAGAATAGGCTTGCTTAAAAAAAGTCTTTAAGCCTTTTTTTAAGTCAACCAATGATTGTGGAGCTCTCAGATAGTCAGGGAGGGAGTTTCAGAGGCGGGGGGCAGCCACACAGAATGCCCGATCTCCCATTTAAAACAACAATTTTATATTCCTTACTGTATCAAATCTTTTTGCATCATTTTATTTTTATACCGTCCTTCACTGCAAGAGTTAGGGGTTTGAATCCACCAGCAGTCACATGCCGAAGTGTCCCTGGGCAAGACACTGAACCCCTCATAGCCTCTGATGTGTCCCATCAGTGTCTGAATGTGATAAAGCTCTGATTAGTCTCATTAGAATGATTTGTTCAATCAGCTTTGTAGAGATCTAGTATAGAGCTGTATGAATGGGTCAATGAGGCACAGATTGTTGTAAAGAGCTTTGAGTGTCTTGATCAGATAGAAAGGTGTTATATAAGTACAGTCCATGTACCATCCATTTACCAAAAATAGGAAAAGTTACAGGAGTGCATAAAACTCTGTAACTTAAATTACCAGTATTAGGTTAGCTTAGCTGCCTGGCTTTTTCTAAACTTAAAATAAAATATCTAGGAACAAATAGTTCATCCATTCATCATCCATCACCTTCAGCCACTTCTTCCTTTTAGGGTCGCCGGGGTCGCTGGTGCCCATATCCATTTATCACTGTGGGAGAGGTGGGGGACACCTGGACAGGTCTCCAGTCCATCACAGACAAATAATTCAAAATATATAAATACAAAAGTAAACAAAAACTTCAGCCTACCATAGAGCATTAAGCTTTAATTCATCATAAAATATAGATTTCACAGGTTTTTTTTAACCATATTGCTCCAACATTTGTTATATTTTCAAAACTTAACCTAATATGAAATATACAGACTTCACAGTCTTAAACATATTGATTCATATTTGGTAAATCTTTAATAAAATTTCAAAAACCTCTGC